ATTACAGTTGAAAGCAATTAAGCAAGTGAGTGAACGATTAGAAAAACTAGAGGCAACTAAATGTGACAAATTAATATATAAATTACCTGCTCTCAATCTCTGTTCGTATTCATTATTTTGAATTTTAAATTAATAATATTACAAAAAATATATTAATATTATTAATTTAAAAATATTTATAAAAGTCATCATTGATGACTTTAATAGTTATTTTTTTTACTTGTAATGAAATAAAATTAACCATATTATCATTATACACTAATTCAATTTCATAAAGATATTTATTAAGATAATAATAAATATCAAATAAATTATTTGATGTTATAGTACGAAAACGATCTTGATTCAAACATTTAGATGATGTAGATGTAATAATTAACCCATATTCAATTAATAAATTTAATGGTGTATATATTTTATGTAATTTATCTAACTCACTTAAATTAAAAACATATGATAATCCATTATTAATATTGATATTATCAATTTCAAAACAATCTAGGTTATTTAATTTGTAAGACTTATATACTGGTTTAAATTTATTAATATAATTTTTAATAATATTATTATTTTTTATTTTTAATAATCTAACATCGCCTAAACTATAAGATAATACTATGTCTTTAATTTCTATTGGTAAATCATAAAATATCATATAATATTAATATATATTTAATTATTTAATTATTTATTTTTAATTAGTAATTTTCAAATATTGAGAAAACTTTTTCATAAACATTTTATCTGGATTCTTTTCTAAAAGGTTAATATATAAAAAACTATGCGGTTCATCAGTGGCAGTCTCATATATTTTATAAATTAGTTTCTTGCTTTCATGTAAATTATCGCTTCTAACAATTGCTGATAATTCATCTTGCAATATTTCTATCTCTTTAAAATTTCTAACTTTATAATAAAACAAATGACTTATATTTACCCTAATAATTGGTGGTACGGTTGATGATTTTTGAAGACTTACAAGTGTTGATATTCCACTATGACGACCTCTACAAAATAAAGAATTTAACAATTTGTTATTTCTTGTTATTGCTGGATTATCAGATACATCATCCAAAATTACCAAAATATTAAATAATTTCTTCGTTCCTTGTTTTTTCTGGTATTCAATTATTTTATTTTGAGTTTCTATAACTCTTTCTAAATCTTCAACATTGAACTCATCCCACCAACACGGTTCTTTATCATTATCTACTTTCAAACCTTCTTTAATGTATTTTTTAACAGGCAACCAAATACTATCTAAATTTACAGATGGAGACCAGATAAAAATTCTTTCAAATGCTCCTCTATAAATATCAAGTATCATTGATACAAGTAAAGTTGATTTTCCACTTCCAGATGGACCGACAATCATAGCTCTCATTGGCAATTTAGGGACGACCTCATGCTTACTTTGCTTAAAGTCATATTTGATTTCATCAATTGGTTTTACATCAGGCATAATAAAAATAATATTATAAATACTTATAAATAAAAAAATATATAATATAATTATATCATAATGGCTATAGAATCTATTAATTTAAGTGAAGTGGCTAGTATTCGGAGGATATTTAAATTCGGTGATGTTTTAGTTCCAGAGACTGGTCAAATTTATTATGATACGATGTTATACTTTTTATCTGGAATTAAAAATTATAATATCGTAGTATCCAAGTCCGCAATTGAAAATGACAATAACCTAGATTTTAATTTTAGAAAGTTAGTAAATTTTATGAAAGATTATTCTAATATATATACAGATGAAATGATAAATAGTGTACAAGAAGTTATTAATAATAATATTCTAGATGTTGATATGCTAACTGCACTAAAACTTACTAAAGCTAAAGAAAATAATTTAAATAAATATTCTATTTAATATTAATGGAACATCATTATGTTATGAGTGGCGGTGAATAACATAATGGAACAGGTTTCCATTGCTTCAATCAGTAAGCATTGAAGCTAATTAGTTTGTATCTCTCTCGCGTGCAATGAAAACCCCAAGTGCTGTGCCCTCCGAATATTCTATCATGCATGAAAATAATAAGATTAAATAATCTAAATAATTATTTTATCTTATTATTATATGACTGTTATCCATTGCAATTGTTGTAAAACTTATGATGACAAATATTTATTTAAACATCTAAATTCAAAACATCATCAGAAATTTGTGGGATATAGATGGAATAAGGACGATACAATGAAAAAACTTTACAAGAAAAGAAAGACAGAAATTAAAAATAATTTATCTTATTATTTAATATGAAAAGGAGTTATTCAGATTATATTAATATAATAGATGAAATGGAGAATATAGAACAAGTACTAATAACTGATAATAGATGTAAAAAAATATGTTATTTTATTTTAGAATTAATTAAGTTTTTGATACAATATATTAAAAATATAAATATTAATATAAATGCCAAAAAAGAAAAACAAAAAGAATAAGACAGGTTTAAGTGTTTCTTCAACAGAAGATAGCGGAGAAATTGTTAAAGAAACATCAGTATTTGAGATTGCTTGTCCTATGTGCAAAAAGATGTTAGAACTTAAAAATGAATTAGAAATAAAAAATAATAAAACATGTAAATGTTCATGTATTCCAACAAGTTTCAAAATAAGTAAAAATGATAAGAAAATGAGTATTGATAAAACTAAAGACAGTATCAACTTAGAAACTGATGTCCATAGTATAACTTTTAAATTTGGTAGGCAAGCAACACCAACCTATAATAATGAAAACGAAACTCAGGAAACTGTTAAACAAATCATGAAAAATTAGTATTTAAAGAGTAGATTTAACATAATTGCACTTTATAAATATAAATAAATAAATATTTAAATAAATATCTAATTATTTATATAATCATAATGCCAACTATGAATGGACAAGACCATAGAATTATTACTTTTGACAATGAAGAAATTAAAGACCTATTCGATGGTGATAAAAACTTTGCTAGACAATTGAGTATAGAATATTTTTATTGGTTAGATGCTAAATTTAATAATAAATATTTTATGAAAGGTATAACTAAACCAGATAAATTTGATAAAATGTTGAAGTTTTTTGAAATTACAGGTAACGATGAAGGTTTAATAAAATTGAAAAATAAAATTGATGAAAGACTCTTAGAATATAATTTATTTACATATATAACATTAAATTATTCAGGTAAATTATATAATAAAACGTATAATTAAATAAATAATTATCTAAATAAATATATAGTAATGTCTGAAAATGAGAATTATATATTAATGATTTAATGAAGAAGATAACATTAATTGGTAAAAATATTAAAACCTTAAATGATATGATTAAATCCATTGATGACAAAATGAAACCAGTTGAACGCAATGAAGATAAAGAAAAAATCGAAAAGATATTTCAAGCAAAATCTATAGGAAGACCATCGGGCGACTACCCGACAAAGCAAAAGAAATACTGTGATATGTTGAATACAGGAAAAATCAAACAACCTAAAAGCACCACTTTAGAATTTTACAAAATTTCAAAAAATGATGATGGAGTATATGTATTATTTGAATAAATAATATCTAAATAATTCTAATAAATGAATTTATTAGAATTATTTAGCAAGAAGACCTATACAAAATACCTAGCGAATTAATTTGTGAAATCTTAGTGAGTTTGACGGAATAAGGATTAACATAGCTTGATTTTTGGATTAACATAGCTTGATTTTTGGATTAACATAGCTTGATTTTTGGATTAACATAGCTTGATTTTTGGATTAACATGCTTTGATTTTTGGATTAACATAGCTTGATTTTTGGATTAACATGGCTTGATTTTTGGATTAACATGGCTTGTGAAATGTGGTGCTATAATTCTTAATCATACTATAATAATAACATTTATACCCTTATATGTTATAATTATAATGTAAAATGACTTAAAGGAATAAAGACTTAATATAATAAGAGAAAAGGAATAAAGACCAATGATGCCAATGATAGGAGTGACAGAAAAAGAGCTGGAACAGGATAGAAAGATAATATTGAGCTTCATTAAGGATAATCCCTATCCATCGTATAAACAAGTCATTGAAATAATTAAAAACGATAAAACAATGAAAGATATATATCCAGATATGTTCGCTGAGTATGGAGAACAAAATCATCAATGGATAAAAGAGATTTACGAAAACATAATGAAAGAAGAACTCGTTAAACATAATGGTAATAGTATTAATGAAAGAGGAGGAATGACAACAATGCATTTAATTATTATACTTTGGTATCAGTGTTGCGTTATTTAATACAACAAAGAGCACCAATGAAAGATTATGACGTTAACTTAATCTGGTATAATATCAGAAACATTTTGAGCAGTTCTTGGAACAACATAGGAGACTGGAAACACTAAAAACAGGTTTAATCATACTATGATTATCACATGTAAAATATTATATGTTATAATTGTAATATATTTGTCGTTTGTAAAGATTGAATTATTATAATTTGCTTATCTCTTTCAAAGTGCGTTGTTTAGACTTGGTATGCTCTTTTGATTTTTTCGTGCTTTGGCTGTTTGTTTTTGTTTTGTTTGATACTCTTGTGATATTTTTTGTTGGTATGTTGCTTTGATTTTTGTTGATGTGTGTTTTTGAGTTTGGGTTCTTTGATGATTTAGAGTGTTGCTGTTTTGTTGGTATGCTTGTTTGAATTATTTAATGTTGTATGCTGTGATTAAATATTTTTGTTGCTGGTTGTGATTATTTATTTTGTTTGCTTGTTGTTCTGGATTTTGTTTTCTGTTTGTTGTGTTGCTGTTGGAGAAAAAATATTAAAAGTAGAATTCTTTGAATTCTCCTTTTACTATTTTTTTCGGTGAAGTTTCCCGCAAGATTCCTTTTGTAGAAAAGAGAGCGCGCTTGCAAGAACAACAAGCGCGGCTGGGTGGCTTGAAGATCGAGGGGAACATGTGCCCATCTCATGCGCTTATAGATGCTGTTTATGGCATGGCGGTCTCAGGAGCCATTGTTTATCTGCCTCCTTCGAAGTGTGGGTCCCGGGATCAGGAGGTCGCTGGTGACAACAAGGCCAAGCCCATCATTAAGTTCGAAAACAGCCAGCTGACAGTCGTGCCGGGAGATGCGCTGGAGCCGATCGACGTTGGCAGTGAACTGAAATGCCTGTGGGCTTTGCAAAGACGAGGGATAGCCTTCGACCAGGCGGAGATCCTCTCATGGGACGTGCACGAAAGTTGGGTCCACAAGTTGTTCAGACCCGTTGAGGCCGGCTGCAGGTTCGCCAAAACCCATGGATGCAGCACTGCAGCGTTTGATTACCGACCCCCGGCTCATGGTTTATTTGACTCCTGTGCAGCAAAGTGCAAAACAAATCCCGTCTGTTTCCACTAGAAAGGAGACCGTGAAAGTGACGCATGCGACTCAGCCGGAAGCATCAGGGGCCTCCCAGATGAGCTGAAGGGGCTCGAATCCAAAGATGCGCAAGGCAGGCCAAGGTGCTGGCATCACAATTGCAGCCATGGGTGCAAAAACCCGCTGAAGAAGGGTCGATGTCGGTTTGGGTACCATCACTGCATGAAGTGCGGGGCGACCAACCATGGTGCATCTACGTGCAACAAGTCCTGACACATGAGCCGAGAGCTCTTTTTGCAGGGTAACCCTGAGAAGGTATCACCCGACCCTCCACATCAAGATCCAACAGATGTCAGAACAATTCAGACTGCTGAAAGCACGGCTAGAAAGTTCAGACCTTTGGTTGTGGAGATTTTTGCTGGTACAGCTCGACTCAGCCGAGCTGTGCGACAACACGGAATGCGAGCCTTGGCCATTGACAAGACCGATGAGCGCTCTGAAGGAGAACCCATCGCCCGATTTGACCTCGTGCAGATTGAGCACGTAAATCTAGTCAAAGAGATTTTGTCAGCCGAGCAAGACAGTCTTTTGCATGTCCATTTTGCTCCAGCCTGTGGGACAGCATCTCAGGCGCGGAAACGCAAAGTGCCGGGGTGTGCCAACGCACCTCGACCGTTGAGAGATGAGTTTCACCCAGATGGCCTGCCTGACCTCACCAACTCCGAGCTGACCAGAGTTCAGTTGGCCAACAGCACGTATGAGGCCACCACCGAGATCGCAATGCATGCTGCAAACCTCGGTGCCTCCCTCAGCTTGGAAAACCCGCTCAATTCGTTGTTTTGGTTGACCACTGCTACTGCCACGATGCTTTCCAAGTTGGCTGGCAAAGACGTGGTGTTTGATCATTGCATGATGGGAGGCCGACGAGACAAAACAACTAGATTGTGGACTTTCGTGCCGCAAGGACAAGACGCTTCCCTATTCCAAAGCCTGAATTTGAGGTGCTCCCGGGATCACGAGCATGCATCTTGGAAGCCACGTTGGGTCGACAACAGATGGATTTTTCCCACGGCCGATGAAGCCGCTTATCCCACTGTTCTTTGCACGCGTCTTGCTTCAGCATTGCAACACAGGGCTGTGCAGTTGAACTTCCACTTCCCAACTGACTTGCAGCAACAAGCAGATTTGGAGGAAACGCCGCATAGCCGACCTCTACATGCGGGACAGCCCCGAGGCCACAAGTGGTTGCCTCTTGTCTCTATGTATGGCTGCACACAGGTCTGGACCGTCCCTGCCAGCAATGCAGATCATGCTGAAGCCATTTTGAGGCAGCTGCCCAAAGGGAGCGCCATTCTCTCTCGCCATTTGTGCTTGGGGGATATCCGGGGCGAGTTCGTCCGTTTATTTGGTGCGGAAAGATGGGATTTCGCCAAGTTCAGCCCAGACATGGAGAAGCTTGCCGGATCTGGGCCCGCTGAATTTTTGGAAATCGGAATCCCAAGAGAGCCCGAGGATTTTGTCAAGGAGGCCATCGCCAGAGGTCACCCCAGAGCCTTCTGTTTCAGACCTAACTGGGAGTTGAGGTCGCTGGCCGCCGACAGCCTGGGCGCCGACACGAGCGAAGTTGAGAAGGCGCGGACGACCTTCTTCAAGAAGTGGCTAACGAGGGCGCTGCGCTTGAGAAAGGAGGAGCAATCCAAATGGGAATCTCTCGCACCCCACTTGAGACCGATCCTGAAAGGAAAAAGACTTGTCTTGTGGAAGCAGATCCTCATGGAAATGGGATATGCTGATGCAGGCGTCCTGGATGAGGTGGCGGATGGATTCGCTCTCTCTGGTTGGATGACGGCAAGCAAGATCTTCAAGCCTTTTGTCAGACCTCCAAAGTTTTCTGTCAACAAGCTTCGTGAAGTGGCCAAAGGACTCAATAATGCTGTTGTGGCAAAAGTCCTGACGGAAAATGAGCTGACTCTGGAGCAGGAGATTTGGCGTCAAACGCAAGAAGAAGTCGCTTGCGGATGGCTTGCTCTTGATGACGACAACAGCATTGAGGACAAGATCCTTGCGTACCGCTTTGCTGTGGTGCAGCGCAATAAGGTTCGGATGATTGACGATTTTTCTTTGGGAGGATTGAACAGCACATGTGGACTTCCGGAACGGCTTGAAGTAGAACCTGTTGACTCGGTGCTGGCCATGGCAGTGCAAGCCATGGGGGAAGATCCAGGCTCAAGGAGCATCGTGGGACGGACTTACGACCTGGTCTCCGCCTATAAGCAGTTCGGAGTATGCCCTTCAGATGTTGAAACGTTGCGTATTGCAGTTAAGGTGCCAGGCGAACGGGAATTCAGGCTCTACAAGGTCCTGGCGCTCCCGTTTGGCGCGGTCGCTAGCGTGGCAGCTTTCTTGAGGATAGCAAGGAGCATCGTCCATATCGCCAGGGAAGGATTGCGAGTGCCTATCACTTCTTTCTTTGACGACTTCACGGCGCTGGCTGTCGAGTCTGGCGCTGAGAGCACAAACTTCGCCGTGACGGGCTTGTTCAAACTCCTGGGCGTCCAGTACGCAAGAGAGGGACCAAAAGCTCCCGACTTTGCTGCGGTCTTTTCATGTCTCGGAGTTGTGGTGGACATGAACCATTTCCGGGGTGGCTCCATTGCGGTCATGCACACCGAACAAAGGGTGCTGGAGTTGAAGGAGACGCTCGGTCAGATATTGTCCTCGGGCACTTTGAGCCGAAAAGAAGCGGAGAAGCTGCGTGGAAGGTTGATATGGTTTTCTTCTTTTGTATTTGGCAGGAGGCCTAACAGGGCTGTGGCTACACTGAGTGCTATCGCGTCAGGTGCCTCGCATTCGTCCTCGTTGGCTGAAGAGCACAAACTTGCCCTGGCGTCCCTTCTGGAGTATGTCAACGTTTGCAGGCCCGTCTCGATCTCAAGACGTATTCTGGAATGTTGGTACATATTCACGGATGGCGCCTTTGAACCACATGAAGCAGAGCCTGGGTCTGTGGGTGGAGTCCTAGTGTCACCTTCAGGAACGGCTTGTGCATGCTTTGGTAGTAAAGTGCCGCGCTCGATCATGGATTCCCTTTTGGCACACCGAGACCACCCCATTTTTGAACTGGAGTTGCTGCCGGTTTGGATCTCCTTCGACCTGTGGGGAAACGCTTTGAGAGAGAGGCAATTGGTGGTTTACATAGACAACAGTGCTGCGCAAGGGGCGTTAGTGAGAGGACGCACCGAAGGTACAATTGCCAACTACCTGATTGAGAGATGCTTGGAGCTAGAGCCAGGGCATCAGCAGTCGTGGTATGGACGCGTACCCTCCCATTCCAATGTGAGTGACGGTCCAAGCAGGCTAGATTTTAGCCATCCTCTTCTGGCATCAGCAAGTAAGGTGGAAATCTCATGGACGAAATTTCAGATCCGTGACCACTTGTAACTGGGGAGTTGCGGGTGCTCACAGGAACCACACCTTACAGGTGCCCTGAGTATGAGCGGTTGGCCCGGAGGATGAATTTAATTTTTCGAGACTCCCCACTTGCGCAAACCAGAAGAGGAAGCCGAAATAAGCAGAGCGCGTTCGGTGTCGTCGAATGCTGTCGCATGATTCGAGATGGACACGCCTTTACGTTTTGTGTGTACCGCTGTACACGTGAACGGAATGCTGCTCTCCACCCACCCCAAAAGTTTGGCTTGTTTTTGGGGGTGCGCGTGTTCTTTTAAAGGTGACCCTCCGCGGTGCGGCAGTTCTAGGGAGAAGCCCTCCCTCCCCCTTTTTAAAGCACAAGTGTGGCTCAAGCAAGGTTTGTTGGAAGAAGTAGGGCCTCCTGAAAGGATGAACACTTTCTTCCCCACTAACCTTGCTTGTCGTTTGACTGTTCATGTTAGTGGTTTGACTATTAACAGGCAAACACACTTGGGCTTTGAATGTTTTTACATACCGCACACATTTGGCTTAGGGAGGGATGGTGGGTTCTTGTCAAATTTGACAAGAGGATTTGAGAATTTTTTGGCCCGCCCACCCAGCCCATGATGTTACATCCTCCTTCCTCTCCTTTGCGGGTGCTCACAGGAACCACACCTTACAGGTGCCCTGAGTATGAGCGGTTGGCCCGGAGGATGAATTTAATTTTTCGAGACTCCCCACTTGCACAAACCAGAAGAGGAAGCCGAAATAAGCAGAGCGCGTTCGGTGTCGTCGAATGCTGTCGCATGATTCGAGATGGACACGCCTTTACGTTTTGTGTGTACCACTGTACACGTGAACGGAATGCTGCTCTCCACCCACCCCAAAAGTTTGGGTTGTTTTTGGGGGTGCGCGTGTTCTTTTAAAGGTGACCCTCCGCGGTGCGGCAGTTCTAGGGAGAAGCCCTCCCTCCCCCTTTTTAAAGCACAAGTGTGGCTCAAGCAAGGTTTGTTGGAAGAAGAAAAGATAAAGCTCGTTTGCGCAGCGTGCTGGTGGCCTTTCCTGAGAAAACGTCCTTGATCAAGGATACCTGTTCGGCGACACTTGCACACTCTGCAATACTTGCACCACATGCGGTTGCATCCGGGCTGGAGCGCAATATAGCCAACCAACGCTTGCAAACCACCTCACGTGATACATCATCCGAAGCAGGCGTCCAGGTAGATCTGAAGGATATGCAGCTGTCAAAAATCGTTTCACCACCATGCGAAATACCATGTCCCTCCGTTCCAATTGCAACTCCGGCATCTGGTTCAGCATTGCGTGGATCCAAATGCTCTGTTCTGGGAACCATCGTTGGCCAACTATGTCTAGCAGCTGTTCCAAACACTTCAGCCATGACGCCCTTTTCCCAAGGTAGCGAAGGTCGCTCCACCTTTGAGTGTTTGACCCGTGCTTCAAAGAAAGCTCAAGAAAGATCTCTCTTTGTCTGTTGAGTATCTCCCGCTAGCGCCTTAGTAGATGCAATACCACAAACCGTCGGCGAAGCATTATAGTCCGCGCATACCATACCGGTTCGTCGTTCGCGTCCAGGTTCTTGCCGCTTCTCGACGACGGACAATTATCCAAAGGAACACCAGGAGGTTGCGTCTCAACATCGGTACCAGCGATGACTCCCTGAAGTAATTCCTCCAGGCTTTCATCGCATGCCATTGCACCCCCCTGTTGCAAAAAATTCACTGTTGTTCAGTGCGTTGCAACAAAGGGGAACCCACCACACCCACCCACTCGAGAAGAATGGCAACGACGGTACCATTCATCATGCATAAATGACAATCCTTGCACACGGAAATTCACCAACAACATAGTGAATTCCCTTACACGGGAGACAAAAAGGGGGCTCAGAAATAAAGACACATCCACCTTTGGTTGACGTTAGTCACAGCAACAGCCGCCCAAAAAAAGACAGAAGACAACAGCAACAGTTTCAAAGCCCCCCCAAAGCTGAAGACAACAGCAACAGTTTCACACCCACCCCCAAAGCTGACTCACTTCGCGCCCAATGCTGACTCACGCCCCCGTCCCCTTCGCGCCCCTAAAAAAAGAAAGAAGAAGACAACAGCAACAATTTCACAACCACCCCCAAAGCTGACTCACATCCTTTCCCATTCGCGCCCCCGAAAAAAAAGAAGAAAGCAGCAACAGCCGCCAAAAAAAGAAAGAAGAAAACAACGACAACAGTTTCACACCCCCCCCAAGCTGAAGACAACAGCAACACTCACATCCTTTCCCCCTTCGCGCCCCCAAAGCTGACTCACGCTTCCGTCCCCTTCGCGCCCCCCTAAAAAAAGAAAGAAGAAGACAACAGCAACAGTCACGCCCAAAGCGACTTTTCGAGAGCCTCCTGGCAGAGTCCCTTCCTCGCAGAGCCTTATTCTGACAGAATTCCTTTCTCTCGCAGAGTCCCTTCCTGACAGAATTCTTTCCCTTCCTTTTTGGCAGAGTTCCTTCACAGAATGCTTCTTGGCAGAGTTCAGCTCTCGAATCCTTGTGTCCTTAAGGTCAGAAGCGTGAAGCGCCCCACTCGATGGGAAAGGGTCTCCTCGCCTCGCTCCGGTGGAACCCGCGTCACGGCCTTGTACATTTTGCAGTGTTGAAGGCGGCGGTGCTCCTTCAGCGCGGGTCGGCGCGCCTTCTGGGTTGGCAACCGGCCCCAATCTGCCTGACCCGCTGCCTGCTCTCCGCCTCTCCCGCCAGAAAGGAACTCTGCATCATCTGCTTGGACCAACTTTTTCTGTTAGCCTGAAGAAAAGCGCGACGAAACCCTTGAGCCAAGAGCCCAACATGTGTGTTTGGGCGACGTGAAAGGAGGCAAGTTCCTAACCTTGGAGCCGTTGATCTGGCGCAGCGACGCCGCTTTGAAATCCCCTGGGAGCCCAAAGCTTTTGCAAAGCCTTCAACACATTGGAGACAGCTGAGAGGGGAACCCTCCTGGTCGTTGCCCATGCCTACGGTCAGTAAGCGTCCAAGACCTGCTGCTGAGGTGGGACCACATGAATGCTAAGCTGAAACCCAACTCCTCGAAGGTGTCCAGGAAGAAGGATAAGCTGGTGAGGTACCTGACGGCCGTGGTGTCGGACAGGCGTTGCAAAAGGCTGGCAGCTAGTTGCGAAGAATGGTTGCTTCGTTCCATGTCCTGAACCACTGTGCTGAATATGCGTACCCTGTGCAACAACAGTTGCCACATGTGGAGCGCCTTCTGCCAGCGCGCCTGGTGAAGCTGGGATTGGGACTGCATGCCTCCCTGCGGTTTTGTAGGGCCCCTGCAAAGCGGACGGATTGACTCTTGGCACCTGCGGCTGGGTTCCTGAATCCTTGATATGCGAAGCGAGTTGACTCTCCCATGCTGGGATTGATACCCCCGCCGTCGTGGTGCCCGAGAGGCCCACCGTAAAGGGGAACCTGTCCGTCTGTGGGGGCAAAAGCATGGCGCAGGAAGGCCCCCAAATGCTGGTGGCGTGTCCATCCGCCCTCGCAAGGGAAAGGCTGGTGGTGGAGCGGGCCCATGCGGGGCCGAGGCTTGGGGGTAGCCTGCAAGATTTTGCCTGCAGGTGGCCTCGACTGTGCCTCGACAGCCTGGTTGCACGTGTCCCGATGCGGGGGCGATGAAGAAAGCGTATCCGGGGAAGCTAAGTCACGGTCCCTGCGAAAACGCTTTACCGCTGCGACCCTGGGGGTAAGGGCAGCACCGCCTGCCTGGACCTCCTCATCGGACTCCACTACAAAAGCCATTCCAGCAAAAGTATGCAAAAAGAAAAGCCAGCCACAAAGCCCACCAAGGCTACGGCCCTCGCAGAATAGGTATCGCGTACAGGTAGAGGCGCTGCAAATATAGCTGGATTCCGCAATGCCGCTTGACTTTTGGCCAGGGCTGATCGTCTGCGCATACGATTAAGCAAAGCAAACCATGGGGCCGGCTCACTGGACGTGCGTGTATCACTGCCAGTCTCTGCTGTTGGGTGAGTGCTCAGAGCGTGCTGTTGATTGCGGCGAAACAGCCACTAAAGCTGAGTGTGGTTGGGCAGTGCCATTCATAACCACTAGCAGTTGTGGAAAAGGCCATGCAAGGCAATTGAAAATCCATGAATACTGAAAAAGCAAAGCAAAGCAGTTGAAAAATGCAAGCTGGTCCAGTAAGCTAAGCATGTATGCTGGCTGTTGCTTGAGCCCAAGCGGCGTATGTTATCAAGTTGAAACACCAGTGAGTAAACACACTAACCGTACATATAGGACATATAGCAAGGAGCCCGGAGAGTGTGGGGGTTGAGTGGGTTGGCGTGTAAGAGCCATACTAGTACATATAGCACATATAGCAAGGAGCCGGGGGACTGTGGGGCTTCCACAGGTTGGCGTGTAAGATCCATATAGCACATATAGCACATATAGCAAGGAGCCGGGATTGTGGGGGTTCGGCGGCTTGGCGTGTGAGGGCCATGTAGCACATATAGGGACTGTGGGGTTCGGCGGCTTGGCGGCAGGGTGGCTTCTATGCCCAGAAACCTCTCTCTTTAGAGGGGGTTTCCCGAATGGATTCTATTCCACTTGGTAGGCTCCTGGCACTCGTCCGTCCAGGAAACGACCTCGTCCTGCGAAGGATTCGAAACCTAAAACGCTGCGTGCAGGCGTGTGGCTGCAACATAACGACCCCGAGATACGCTTGCAATTTTGGCTCCAGGTTGCATTTCAAGCGATGTCATTCTTTGCCAAAGGAAACCCTTTTCCCTTTTTTTCGGGACCCCTTTTTTGTTTTTTTTTGTTTTTTTCTTAGCCCTGCAAAGGTTGGCTCGCTTGAAATGCCCTGGAGCCAAATTGCAAGCATATCTCGGGGTCGTTATGTCGCAGCCACACGCCTGCACGCAGCGTTTTAGGTTTCGAATCCTTTGCAGGACGGGACGGACGAGTGCCAGGAGCCTACCATGCAGGTGGAATAGAATCCATTTGGGAAACCCCCTCTAAAGAGAGAGGCGCGCCAGTGCGAGCTCATCATGATCAATGATGAGGCGCTGCAGCCTCTCACGAGCTTCACGGACTTGTCGGACAGCCGGGTGAAGACGGAGATTGCCAGTGCTGCAGCTCTTCGACGGCGTGGAGGCCAAG